CACATGATATGATATTGTCCGCTTTAGGCCTGAGCTAGCACGATTTTGCTCTTGAGTTTTACTCTAAAAGGCCCCATACCAATTGGAGATGACACACTTACATATAAGCACTTCACATTTCCTCTACCCAGGCAATGTGGGACTGTGCACCTAAAACTCGCCAGTGTGGTAACCTGTCAGTGTCTCTCGCACCCGCCCACAGCACACCTGCCCACAGGATCATCACATGTGACAGGCTACCACACTGGCGAGCCACGGGTGCACAGTCCCACATCGCTTAGGTAGAGGAAAGGTGAAGTGCTTATATGTAAGTGTGTCATCTTCAATTGGTATGAGGTCTTTTGGGGTAAAGCCCAAGAGCAAAACCGTGTGGGCTTAGCCCCAAAGCAAACAATATCATACCATGTGGTAGAGTGGGTCGTTACAAATGGTATCAGAACTTGATCCAGCAGGAAGTGTGCCGACGGGGACGTCGGGCCTCCAAGGGGGGTGGATTGTGATAACCCTGTGGGCGGGTGTGCCATGAGCGGGTGTGAGAGACACTGACAGGCTACCACACTGGCGAGCTAAGAATGCAATCTCCCACATCACCTGGGAGAGGGAAAAGTGAAGTGCTTATATGTGAGTGTGTCATCTCCAATTAGTATGAGGCCTTTTGGAATAAAGTTTAAGAGCAAAATCGTGCGAGCTCAAACCCAAAGCGGACAATATCATATCATGTGGTAGAATGGGTCGTTACAAACCAGTATCATATGGGTCTAATTAGTTACGTGTCCAACCCAATTACTTTTAATGAGACTGTCCGACACATAGACTTTATGCTGCCTTCGAATCACTTTGATCCTGCAACTGATAGCACAAGTCCAATGAATGGTATTATGACAATATATCCAATTGATGTGGTCATTGTTTGTATTCATGTGGATATGTTGTCTGGTGATCAAGATGACTATAAACATGGTTATATGTAATGGTTACTTGTTTGTTAGGAAAAAAAATTGTAAGAATAGGAACATTTAATGCCCAGAGAATGCTTTTACTATCAGTGTTATCCACCACAAGCTTGGTGGGACATTTGGAGTCTTGATACTGAAAGCAATGACATTGGGAGCATACAGGCTTTCATTGGAATTCAGCAATACTGATGTCCACACATATCTATCTTGACCAATTCTAAGCTTGAAAGACATCACATGAGGCTTAGAAGACTCCGCCTCTATACACAACCTAGCAAAGCATATCCTCTTCTTGGTTTCGGTAAGTCTGATAGCTAGAAGGTATTAACCCACAAGGCAGTTGCCTAGGTCCTCCAATTAAAAGAATTCTTGTTGAGCTCCATCTCTTTATGCCATTTCTCGAGGATAAGTGGTATGTCAACAATCACGCAGGGACTATTGGCTAGAATGTTGTTACAGTCCACTTCTTGGAGAATTTAAAGACGAAAAATCCCCTTTCAATCAGCCTTTTATTACCCCACATCTTCGTGACATTAATTTGAATAAGGGTGAAGGGGAGTTTCTTTTAGATAAAATAACCAATCTGACATGCTTCCATTCATCAATTCCTTCGTAGAACTTGTGTCTATAATTGGTGCCTTAATATTGAAATTTGAGATGAATCAATTTAAATTTTGAACTAAATTTTCTCTAATCTCAATTCTTAAAAAACCTATTCCATGCAACTGAACATAGCATCGTTTTTAGTTTGGGGTATCTTAATGTTTTATAAGCGATTTTCTACCAAAGTAACTAAGCATGCTTAAGTGACATTAGGCTTTAGACACGCCAGAAGAAAACTCGTAAAACTTACCTAGAATTGAGGAGTGTTCAACTTGTTACAAGTTTCAATAGAAATAGAAGTAAAATTTTTAAAGTGAAAAAATCCTATTTTTGCTTAATTTTTTCTTGAAACTTTTGGGTTCGTTTGATTAGATAGAAATTTATGATAGAAAGTGAAAGTGAAAATGAAAGAAAGTGAAGTAAAGGAAAAAAAAAAAAAAAAAAAAAAAAGTTTCCAGTATACATATGGTTAGGAGGAAATTTTTTCAATAAAGTTATGAAAAAATATTATTTTGTTAGTTTAGATGCGATGAAAATGAGAAGAAAATGATTATATTATCAAAACTACCCTTAGGAATTTAAATATTTTAAAATAAAATAAAATTGTGTTTGATAAATCACCCTTATACCTAATTGTTTATTTCCATTTTTAACAAAAGAAAAAAAAAAAAACAAAAAGTAAAATAATAATATAATTATTTCTATTAATATCTAAATTGTATCTTTAACGGACACAGTAATTGTAAAACCCATAATACTCACAATCTAAAAATCTCATGGTTGTAAGTTTCCAATCAAATTAAGAATCCCAGTGCCCTACAACACCAACACTAACTTTCATTTTTTTAATCAAACTAAAAACCCTGTATGTATACCACTCGATCTCAATCATTATTAATTACCGAACCCAAAATAATTATAATAAAAAATTAATTTTGTATGCATATATAGAAATGTAAATAATTAAATTAGGATTACACCAATTTACAAAAGGAAATCGGGAGAAACTAAATAGTGGAGAGGAACAAGGAAAAAGTAAAGAAGAATGGGGGAGAAACAACCGATAGTGGCACAAAAGGAAAATAAGATACAAAGTGACTAAGTTTTGTGAGAAAGGGAAAAAAATTAGGAAAAATTCACAACATGCGATAATCTTATTTTCGCAAAAGTTTTCACTTTCCCGTAAATAAAAAATAAAAAAAAATAAAAAGAATTGCTTACCAAACGGACCCTAAGATGCAAAAAGAAAGTGATATGCTAATGTAAAATTTAAAATTATTCAAATCATAACGTACTAAACTAAAACTGTTTTATTAAAATTTTAAGGGAGAATTACACGGACCTCCTTTGAGGTTTCGTCAACCTACACTGACCTCTCCTCTTATTTGTTAAATAACAAAAACCTTTCTCGAGATTGTATACGTATAACAAGGACCTCGCCTCCATTAACAAAAAATACTATTACCAACCAAAAATGATGATGTCGTCAATTTTTTATTTTCAAATTCCCATTCTACCCCTCAAAGATATGTAAATAAATTAATCAAAATATCTAAAATACCCTCTTAATTATTTGTCCCGTCTCCTCTCAAATTCTCTCTCCAATCTTTTTATTTCTCCTCTCTCTTTCCTCGATCAAAACTAAAACGGTGGCATCACCTCAACGTGCCTAACGTTTCATCAATCCAATTGGAGCAACATCTGGATGATGCATGGCTGAATGGTTACCAGCGATGGATAATTTTAACCATCTAACCTCTCTGTTGTCCAGACAGGCAGTAGATGTGTAGGGTCCATAAAAAGAAACCAAAACGGTGGCGAGATAATCGGTGGTTCTATACACTTCACCGAGCTTGGGTCTATGAACTTCAAACCCAAACCATCACCATGCATCTCTATGATGCCGACGCATACATTCTCAAAGCTCTGGCCAAAACCAAGATCCGGGTCGTCATCAGCGTGCCCAACAACCAGCTCCTTGCAATTGGGTTCTCCAACACCACTGTCGCCGCCTGGATCGGCCGGAACGTCGCCGGGTACTACCCCCAAATGCTCATTGTCGCCGTCGGCGACGAGATTCTGACTACCGTACCCCTCTTCCGCTCCCTGCTCATGACGGTTATCGAGTCCCTCTACAGTGCTCACGTCGTCGCCAATCTCTACACCTAGATCAAAATCTCGATGCCATGTGCGGCGTCAAATGTTCTCAACCCATTCCCTCCGTCGTCATCAGCGTACCCAATAACCGGCTCCTCGCAATCGGATCCTGTTAGTAGATATATGGATATATATATATATATATATGAAGCCGCAGTAGAGAGCCCGCCCAAATCCTCGTCGATGCGCTAATTGAGAACAACAACTTGAGTGGTTTGATTATTTATGTTGTTTGTTAGATTGCTTGTGTTGTTTGTTACAGGCAGTGGCTTTTGTTTGTGGGCGAAGGTTGAAGGATAGGTTTAGGGCCTTTTTGTCTTTTCAAACTCTATTGAGTTTGTAATAAAATACAGTATACATATAATAAGGGCAGAAAAGTAATTTCAATATAACCGTTAACGCCATCTGTCCAAAAACTCTGATAGGGAAAGTTAGTGTTATTTGACAAACAAGAGGGGAGGTCAATGTATAATGACAAAACTTCAGGGAAGGTCAGTCTAATTATTTCAATTTTTAATTAAAAATTGAAATAAAATTCATACAAATAAAGTTATCTTGTTTTATTTACATTATTTATTATCAGCTTTCACATTCATGCATAATTTTGCAAATAGAGCACTAACTAAAATTGCATGACATCAAATGATGTAATCTAGTGGTAGTATATTACGAGCATCAGGCACCACGAGGGAACCAAGCACAAGAATTTTTATAATATTCTGGGGGTAATAAATCCTTATCACCACATTCAATTGCTGGAAACCTTAGAGTACAGAACAGGGCATCGTAGATTTTTTAATAATCTATATCTCTGTACTCTTATAAAATTCTTTTCACTTACTTACAGTGTTTCTCAATTTTTCTATTTTTCATTTTCTAGAATTTTTATTTTTATTTTTCTATATTATTTTAGTCTAGTCTCGTTTTACGTGCCGAACATCCTGGGGTTTGCCGGGTGTGTTGCGAGGGTTGGTTGGACATTTCTTTGAATTTGGAATTCTTAGAAATGCATTGTTTGTCATTTTGGTATTTTTATTTTCAATTTTTCGAGTCGGGAGGTCCCAAGTGGAATCTGCAACCGGAGTTGTAATGCATGGGGATTATTTTCGGATTCATTGCATTTCATACATTTTTATTTGATGCATTTTATGTGACTATATAGTTATTTAAGTGTTGTGACTTGTGTATATATGTTTATATATAAAAAGACAAGGAGATATTTTGAGTGGTGGACCTCATATTAAGCCTATAACATATATTGTAAATGGCTGATTTCTAGCCATTTCTTTTCCTTCAATTTGTGGCTTTCTTTCTATCTCTACACAGTGAGCTTTCTCTCCCTAAAAACACTATTCAAGCCTTGATTTCTCCCTTTGCACTTGGAATTCAACTTTGCCATTGAAGGCAAAGTTTGACAAGGTCGATGAGAGCTTCGTTTTGGTTAGACCCGACCTTCGTTTGGAGCACCTTGGAGTTTCGAATTTTGGGGGTTTTTCTTGGTTTGCTCTTCAATTTTAAGGTAGGTGTTTCTAATATACACATTCTTTGACTTATGTGAGTTATCTCCATTATAATTGTGTTTTGTGTTTTGCTTTCATACTAAATTGCAAGTTTTGCCTATAGATATTTGTGATTATGTATATAAGGAGCATGTTAAGGTGTACTATGTGTTGATTTGATAAAAACTGCATGCTTAGATGTTTTGTTGTGAAAACATGCACTTGAATGCTTGGATGTTAAATGCTTTAGTTGATAAAATTGTTGATTCAGAATTTATTAATTTAATTTCCTTAAAGCATGCAAACATGATGTAGATGGATTGTGTGAAATTGTATATTTGATATGACTTGAAAGACATGAACATTCATGCATAGCATTAGGAAAGAAAAAGGAGAAAGTGTTTTGAAAAAAAAGAAAAATTGTTTTGGGGAAATGATTTGAAAAGTGTTTGCGAAAACCCTAGCGCCTAAGAGTTGCCTAGTAATTGCTTAGTAGTCCATGGCGTTAGTGTGATCTAGAGGGAAGTAGGGAGAGACTCTAGCGGGGTTGAGCTACCTAGGCCCGAAACGACACCTTGGAGATTCCATGTGATTGGGGATAGCTAACCAGCCCTTCTCTCGTGACGCTGTAGAATTGCTATTAGTCGGGTTGCATTAACAGTTTGGACTGGTGAAACGAAAATGTTTTAAAATGGTGTACTCCATTGGCATATTATTGCACTCCATTGGCATACATTGTTCATATATGGTTGGATGACCTGTATATTAGTTGTCGTTGTTGTTGTGTTGTTTCCCCCGGATGGAATGATCTCATTTTCATTTATTCTATGTTTTGTGTAGATTCACGGGGTCATTAAGAGGTGTGTCTTAGGCACCTCCTATTAAGCCGTTGTGTTTACCCCTTTTTTATATTTTCAAGACACATGAAGGAAGTGGCAGACGACGTTCCACCACAGACTTAGGCATGATTAGAAATTGACTTTTGCTATCTTTTGTAACTAATTCTCAATATTTTGTAACATCTTAACTTGATACAGTTGTTGTTGTGATTGGGGATTCTTAACCAAGAATATTGTTTCAGGGACTGTATTTTGATGTAACTATGACTATATTGTAAATGGCTATCAAATTATGTAATGATCCATGTTGATGTATTATGAATGAATGAGGTTCATTTTGCATGTATGTTGTTGATAATGATTTTAGGGGACTTTATAATTTAATTGTCATGGGTTGGGACATGTTTGATTTAGTTTTAAGGCCCCAAGTGAGGTCATTATATTTCCATAGGCATTTTTGCAGTTATGCAAATGAAGGGTTTTTCACAAGATCATTTCGGACGACCGAAATGCCACTTCGGTCGACCAGATGCATTGTTCTCAAATTCCAATAGCCAACCTTGATTTAGGGTCATAACCAGCAGACTGGTTGGACCACTCTAGTCTACTGAAGTAGTCACTTCGGACGACCGAATTGGTCATTCGGGCAACCGATTTTTGTAGACCTTCATTTTTATTTTTTTTTGCATCCAGGTGTTCTTTGAGGGTTAGTACAACACAAGGGTAGTCTACTGTATGGTAAAAATAAATAAATAAATAAATAAAAAATAAATTTCCTTATATCTATTCACGCACTAACCTTTATAATTAGTGTCATTCCACCAATGTGTACAAGAAGGATTTGTGAGGTGCACTAATTGCATCTTAACCTTGGAAATGAAAGCATTGATCCTAGATGAATTCGGGTTTGAGTAAGGATCCGGTTAGTGATTCCGACCCCCGGATTCAGATCGTTATATTGTTATTATTATTATCTTATTTTCTTTTTTTATATTTTTTTACTCAATTTATTAAAACGTTAATAAAATAAAATAAAAATAACCTCCTTTGAGATTTTTGTACTAGGCTCAATTTTCTTTAAGCAAACATGTTTGTTGTATATCAATCCAACAAAAAGAGAAATCCATGTAAATTAATAACAATCATCAAATTGAATCACGTGAATATTGTTCAAAACAATATATTTAAAATAAACTGGACTAAAAAAAAAAAATCAAAAAATTCAAATATTCTAAGAAAATCTATACCATAATGTTTAACACACACAACCACCAATCCCAATCTCGCAAAGAATAAAACAAAACCTTGATCTGTAACCACTCAAGTAAGACCTAACTTTTCTTGGAAAATAAGGAACTAAACATAATGAAAGGAGTCTCTAATCAAACAAGCTGAACATCATCTCATCATCACTCTCTTCTTTGGCTTCTTCCTGCAATATTGGGAGGGGAAAAAAAAAAATTGGCCAATAAATTAATTATAAATGATCTATAATTCGAATCACTAAAGTAAATAGGATAAGGAAGTAAAAAAACTTATGTATACCTTTTTCTCCTTAACTGCGGGAGCGTCAGGGGCGCCAGCGGCACCACCTGCTGGACTAGCAACTGTGGCGGCGGCAGCACCACCTCCACCAGAGCCAACGTTCATGATGAGGTCTTCAATATTCCTCTTCTCCAAAAGCTTTGCAAAGAGACTTGGCCAGTACGACTCCACTTTCACGTTTGCAGCTTTTGCCAATGTAGCAATCTTCTCGGCCTGCCAGTGAATGTAACGGCTGAATATATTTATAGAACGAGAAGTACAATAGAATTACATGAAATCAACAGTGATTGATTTATATACTTATATAATTTTTTTATTTTTTTTATAACCTTCTTTTTATAATTTAAGCCTAAACCTGTCACATCCAAATGAAATCCAATATCTAAAGGAAAGAAATAAACGATAATATTGAATATAATTTGATACTATTGAATATTTATTATTTTTATTAAAATATTCCAAACATACGTACATGTTTATGTATCAAAATAAAAAATAAAAAATAAAAAAATAGAGAAAGCAGCAAACAAAAAAAAAATTGGTTTGACTTACAAAAAAAAAAATTGTAGATGAAACCAACAGATCAATAGAGATAATATCGAGATTTACAGTGATTGAGAGGCCGTCATCATGAAGGATCAAAGAAGCATAGGTACAAGCAAGCTCGCTTGCAGACATCTTTCACAGACAAATATATATAGAGAGAGAAAAAAAAAAATATATATATATATATAGAGAGAGAGAGAGAGAGAGAGAGAGAGAGAGAGAGGCGGAGGCGGGGGCGGAGGCTACCAACGAAAGCTTTGTGTGTATGGATCGCAAGCTCTCACGGCCTTTTATTTATAAATAATATGTTTGATATGTTTCCTGATTGGTTTACAGGCAAATCCTAAATTAATTAGGTTTTATGGGAATTTTAGACTGGAGATAGAAGTTTATGAATCATATATATTTCCTTTAATTAATACAAGTCGCAGTTTTATTCAATTTTAAAAAGTAGCCATATCTTTCAGCTCATTAAAAGCTTTCTGACAATGTTCATCCCATATGAACCGTACACCCTTCTTAGTCAGATGGGTGAGTGGTCCCGCTATCTTTGAGAAACCCTAGATGAACCTCCTATAATATCCTGCCAAACCGAGGAAACTCCGAATCTCAATAGGTGAAGTAGGCTGTTCCCACTCAACCACCGCTGAAACCTTGGCCGGATCTACCGCTATTCCCCTTTCTGACACCACGTGACCCAAAAACTTCACCTCCCGTTGCCAAAATTCACAATTCTCGAACTTGGCATACAACTGGTGCTCACGAACACTGCAAGAAAAGGGGGCTTCTACGAGGGGCCAAAAAGGCCTTGGAAACCTATTCACAGCGCATTCTAGGCCCTCGTGTATGTGGGTTCCTTAAATACTCAATTTTTTTTACGGGAAAAAATCTATCTCGTAGAAAAATATATTTTCCCGTTAATAATTAACCTACGAGGTGCCGAGGCATGCCGTAGAAAACTTTTCTACGGCGAATTGTAACTACCCGTAGAAAACTCACGAGGCACCATTGCTTGCCGTAAAAAACTTTTCTACGGCGAAGTGTAACTACTCGTAAATAATCTCACGAGGGACCGATGCATGCCGTAGAAAACTTTTCTACGGAAAATTTTAGGTACCCCGTAAATAATATAATCCATTCTCGCCGCTTCCCATCTGTCGTAGAAAAGTTATCTAAGGAGGATTTTCACTTATTTATGGGATTTCAAGCTCCCCGTAAATAAAATATATATATATATAAAACACCCTTAATTAATTCCAGTTAATTATCCACTATAATTCACATCACTTTTAGCTTTAATTTAATTCAAAAAACATACATATCCCATTAAATATATCAAAAGAGTTAAAACATTTTTACAATTCATCATTTATCAATGTTCCAAAACAGGAAGTACATCCATTTGTCAAGAAAATCATCAATTTCTTAACTCTTCTGTTGAAAAATTGATAAACCTTCTAGCACTTGAGTTTCAATCTGCACTTGTCAAAAAACCACCTCACTATACAAAATCCAAGGAGGTAGCTGCAAAATCCAAGGAAGTAGCTGCAAAACCCGCGGTACAAAATCCAAGAAAGTAGCTGCATCACATAAGTCTCAAATTCAGAATGCTAATAAAAAAGGGAAATAACAAGATTATCATTTATGAATCAAACACAAACATTTTGCTAAGAATTTTTTCATTAAATCTGCCAAAAATATTTCAAACAGATAATTTTCCTTAATTGAATACTAGATTTTTGCAAAGATGTATGAGAACAGCCAATATCATAATTTATTTATATTCGTGAACAATACGATATCATAATATGTAGTCTCTTTATCTCATGATTATGAACAAATCTGAAACATTCTGAAACAAATTTGAAACATTGTAGGTTTTTGGTGCAATGATTATGAGCAAATCTGAAACTTTGAATACAAGTCAAGTCTTATATATCTATATATATATATATAATCTCAGTTTGTTGCTAGTTTAATTGATATATGTTTTCTTTTTATGTTCTATTTTAATAATTTTTCAGATTTTCCGTTTTTAGGATGTAATAGGATTTATGGGTCATATTTTGGTCCAAATTATTGTAATGAACCTTTGTTCATGGTTTTTAGTTGGTCTATATTAGTTTAATTAGTCAAATTTTTTCTGCTTTTATTTATTTCTTTTCCCTAAGCAAAGTTCTCAAGTTTCTAAATAAGACTCCAAATCTTATAGCTATGAGTGCTTCAATTAAGTAAAGAACATCTTTTACAGGAATTTTCCAACAAACCTTAAGTGTGATGGTTATGGGAAGCTAGGGTGATCGTTCTACTCTGTTGGTCCCTAATATGTTTATCTTGAGGTTTGCTTTTTTAATGACAAAATGCATGTTTAAAGGGCTAAATGCAATTTGATCATGGTTTATTGGCATGTTGGGGTTTGGTCAAGTGTTGTTTGCCATATTTTGGAGGTTTACTCATTGAATTACAAATTGATATAAGCTCATTACTCATTGGAGTTTCGAGGAAGTCATTGCAGCCCTTATAAGTTAAAGAATTCTGTGACAACACACTCAATTGGCCTACAGCCTTTATAAGGGCATTTTTGTCATTATACACATCATTATATTCATATTATATATGCTTGTGGAGCTACATTGTTCAGTTGAGCTCGAATTATTCATATACCAGACAAATCAAATGTGACAGTAGTGCTTTTGCTGGTATGTAAAAAGGGAAATCTGCAGGGGCAGTTTTGTAATTCTGTGTAGCTATAAATGCTGACACATGCACAGTGGTCCTGCTAATATTAGCTTATAATAGAATGGCATTTATTGGCCTCAAGGTTGCACTACATTGTATATACACATTTACACACTTAATGTATAAAATATCTGTCAAAGACTACTAAAAAGGTGTGTTCTTCAGCTGAAATATACAAGGATATGGTAGTCTTTTCTCACACTGAAATAGCAGGCGTACTACCTCACTGTGATAGGTAGAATGTAGCTCTGTCTTATTCATATTAGGGTTGACAGTGTGAGGCCTATAAAAAGATTGTTATAGCAATTGAAAAAGTATGCCTCAATGTGAAAAATCCTAGAGAAATAAGGGCTATATTTCTGCAGCTGTGAATTTACAATTTAGTCCCTTAAAGCTGTATTTTTGCAGAAACTAACTAGTATCAATTTTTGGGGCTGAGTTTCATACATTTATTGATGTTCTTAACCTCTGAGCTTTTGTGAAAAGATGAACCAAGTGTATGAGAACATTATCCAAGCCTGAGACCTTCCAGAATACCATTTATACCCTCAGTTCAGAGGCATCAAAGTGGCACTAAAACAAATCCTATGTTGAGCCTATTTGTTACTGGTTTATACTGAAATGTCTTAATCTTGTTGAGTTTATTGAAGACCATGTTTGTGCAAGTGTATTATGATAAAATGAAGCTGTGAGAATCCTTTGTTGAAGAGAATTTGAATTGTTTCAAGGTTGTGTTAGATAAAACTGAAATTCAATGTTTTAACACTGAAGATGCTGCGTAACCTTGCATTGGAATATACCTTGCTTGTTAATTGGTTATTAATACCTAAGCAAGTGTATCTAGCCTATTGAAGACTAGGGGAGTGCTACTATGGGATTGCAACAACCAAAAAGTGGTTGACAACATGGGATTGAATAGTGAGAATGATATAGTATAGTATATTGTATTCTTGTCTTATAGCAGTAGTCAGATATTTGTCAACAAGTTCAACTTTTCTAATGATTTTTATTTCTTTTTTCATTTTCATTTTCATTTCATTGTTGATTTAGTTACATGTTCGGTTCAGATATTTCAATTTATGAAGTTAATTAGTTCTTAGTCAACAAATAGCAAATACTTCTCCACAACACAAATCAATCAACAAGAAGTCTCCACGTACAATGATCCCATACACCCATACTTTTCAACAAATACAAGAAAGTAAATTGCCTCCACACAGACCGATGATAAATAATGAAATTAAAATGCCTCCACACGGGCCGATGATTTAAAAATTGGTCACTTCAAAGCATGTGACCCCCTAATACACCGCAAAGAGTTTAAAAATTAGTCACTTCAAGGAACGTGACCCCCTTTTTTGCAAATTGGAAGTATGAAAACTTACAATCATCTCTGAAGCAGCAACATCAATAGCATTGCCAACCTTATTTGTATGTGTGCGTATGAATAAATTTGCATGAGAAAGCTAAATACCTTCTTTTTCCTCGATCTATAAAAGAAACATAGACGTTGTGATATATATTATTTACCACTAACATTTATAATCATGGTGATGCATAATTGAAATCTGAAAAAAAAAAAAAAAGAAATCCATTTAACTTAATTAATTATCCGCGAATCCAATATATACTTTGAGCATTTATGATAGAATAAGAGGTCTTACATGCATAATTAGCAAAGGATGTCTATCCCTAGATAATCAACACACAGGTTTTTAGTCATACCAATGAAGATCATGTTTCCCTTAAGTAGAGAGAAAAAAAAAAAAAAAAAAAAAAAAAAAAAAAAAAAAAAATTGAACTTCATGAATTTTATGGTAATGAAGATAGTAAAATAATCGTATAACTGGTAAGAAAGTGCAAATGCAAAATTCTAAACACATTCTTACTTGAAACAACTATTATTAGGGTAGTAAGAGAACATATATATATATTTTTTTTAAAGGTAAAATCAATTTTGTAAGATAATAAGATATACAATACAAGTTAGCCATGCATGTAATAAAAAACTATGGAATCGTTTCACGTCCTCGACAGTTCTCATGAACCCCTTATTTATTCAGTTCTCATATTTAATGTGTCAATGCATGTGAACATTTGGCAGCTCATTGATATTTTGCTATGCCTGCATTGCTTTGTTTTGCATGAGTTATGCAACATTTTACCACTGACCTTTTTCTTTCAATGAATAGTCCTTGTCAAACAGTATTGGAGGAGGAAGTGGTTGGTTAACAAAATCAAAGGTTGGTTTTGTTTTTGGATAATCTGTCACACCCTTCCCTTTCTATAACTTTGGATGTTAAACTGATATATCATATGCTAGTATGTATTTTTTTTTTTTTAAATCATCACTTGTTACTCACTGTCTTGGTAATTGGTGATCATAAGCTTTTTGGTCCTCTTATAGTTTGCTAGAAATTGACCAATGCTTATTGGCAGCATATTATAGCAAGCTTATGAATGCAGCTATTTATTTTCCTCAAATTGTAGCATTATCACTCCCTTTAACTCAAACTAGACTTTCTCAGTTTTTTCTCAACCATGGAGACCATAATCCCATAGACTTGTGTTTTTAAGAGTTAGCCTTGCACCAGATACATTGAATATGCACTCAAATATGAAATTAAAATGAAAGACAGAAAGTTGAAATATGTGACATTTGGTGAAAAAATATAAAAATTTAGCATTAAACACAGAAAAATTAACGTAGGTTAAGGATTATGTTTGCTTACAATGCATTGTTCAGGCGTGGTCCCTCGCTCAACTGCAGCAGCTGGTGTATTGGGTGGCAAACCGTGGTGTATCAATTTTCGTGCAAGAGAAGGGAGAGTTGACAAACCCATATAAACAACCAAAGGTGAATCAGGGTCCGCTGCATTTTCTGCAACAAACAGGTGGTCTGTTCCTCCATTTCTTGAGTGGCCCGTGAGAAATCTAACACTATTTGCAACACCATGGGTTAAACCTCCTCAATACTAAGTCTCACAATACAAGGACTTGGCTCTAAATGTGTCGCAAAGTTGGGTACCATTATATAAAGACATCCTAAATATTTGAATAAATTATATATTATGTAATACTATAATATATTATGTTCTTTAAGGATAAACTTAGTTAAAACTTAAATGGATGAATATAGATCAAGAAAGGGAATTCCATTTATTTCAAAAATATGAAACATTCTCCCACATCAAATTTGAGTTTTTTCTTCTTATATCACCACACATAAAAGTTAAGAGAAGGGCATCCCCTGTCTAATTGGATATTGTGTCAACACATGTTCTATGGCCATATCCATACATGTGCAAAATCATATTGACACAGGTACAATGAAAGGTACAAGAGATTCCATGTAAATAAGAAAATTAATTTAACAAAAGAAACAACACAAAATCAGCAAGAAAAAACAACAAGGGCATTAGGAGGAATAGGACGGCCATACTGAAAAATGTTTTGGGTATGATATAGTTTCATCCATCTTCTCCATCCTCGTATGGTGACATTGGGGTCGTATGGAGAGTCCACTCTTATATATTTCATAGTAAAAAATGTCATGCATGTGTGTGATGGCATTTACAAAGAGTATTAACTTCCATATACTTCTTTATTCTTGTACTCTCTTCACTTGGGATAACATGATGTGTCTTATCTCTCATTTTTCTATTGATGGCAACATGATGCTACTTGTCAAAGAACAATGCAGGGATTGCTTTGTACATGAGAACATAGAGAACGAAAATCTCAAGCCATCTTGAGAAAAGCGTATGTGGATATGTTTGCATAGTATATTTGATCATCGGTCACAACATTTTTCACTTTAATGAAGTTGTTCCTATATATTAACGTGACTCTTTCATATTTGTTTGTTTTTCTGCCCATTTTATTTTCTTTCGCCCTTTTAGTCTGCTTCACGAACAGTAATTTTTCTATGTGATAAAGGAAATCAAGGTATTCCATCACTCGATCTCTTCCAAACAATGCCAATCAAAGGACCTTAAAATCATCCCATTACAATGAAGACTAAATATATTGTGAGGAAATTTCATTCTCGAATTAAAATTGGAAAAACAAAGCCTAAAGAGTTTAATTCTAATGGTGGACTTGTACTCTGTCAAACAATCGTACCAGGAATGACTTGCACTTCAATCCCTTGTTGTTGCAAGAAATCCATCTTCTCCCCACCTCTCCCAAACACCTGATACACCCACAGAAATTCAGGACAAAAAAACTAATTTTTAATCCTGCTTGTTGAAGTTTCTATATATATATTTTTAATCCTGCTTGTTCAAGTTTCTTGCTAAGAAGTTTTTGTTCTAACAGTTTTCACATGAAAACTCACCAGTGGATCACCTCCTTTAAGTCTCACAACTGTGGCTCCAGCTTCAGCAAAACTCAGAAGCAACTCATGAATTTCCTCCTGCAAAAATCCAAGAATTACTTCTCTTGCACAACAATAATCCATTAACGAGCTCCGAAAATATAAAGTTGAGAACGAGAATAGAGATGGAGGCGATTGGGGAGGCTGAAATGATTTGCCCTAAAAATTTCACTTAATTGGATTTAATTTGCAAAATAAGAATTACAGAAATTGATTAATTGATTTAGAAAAAAAATAATAAAACAAAACCCATACATACAAGTTAGCAGTTGCAGAGAGAGGGCTTAAGAGTTGAGAGACAGCGGGCCAGAGGCTGAAGCTTGAGAACGGCAAACCCGAACTGGAACATAAGGCGATGGAAATTGAAGGATATGGGTTTTGATATTTTGAACAATCTGAAATGATATGCCGATATGGGTTCTGATTCTTGTAGATTTTGAAGTTTGCAGTTGCAGAGACAGAGAGAGGGCAAGTTCAGAGTTGAGAACGAGAATAGATATGGAGGCGATTTCGGAGGCTGATCTGATTCTTGTAGATTTTGTAGTTTGGAGTTGCAGAGACAGAGAGAGGGCAAGTTCAGAGTCGAGAACGAGAATATAGATGGAGGCGATTTGGGAGGCTGATCTGATTCTTGTAGTTTGCAGTCGCAGAGACAGAGAGAGGGCAAATATAACTTACCAAGTAAAAAATAAAAAATTCAAAATCATGAACAAAAAAAAGAGCATACAGAGAAAATTGTGTAGTGGAAACATATATATATATATATATATATATATATATATATATATACAAATAAATCTATAAACAGAAAAGGGAAAATTTTGGTCGAACAATAATGAAATGGAATCACAGAGACATGAACATACCTGAAGCTTGTGTTGCACTATGTGTGCCCACACCTTTCTCACGGCATCGGTGCGACACGTTGAAGGGGCTCCCATAAATTTTTTCAGCTCCGGGGAGATGGGTCCAACCTTCAAGACCCTGGTTTCCCGAGTGTCCTTAGGAATGCCGGCGGCCGCCGCCATCAGAGCTCTGCAGAACCTTCCGAAAGCCCCATTTGATGCAGTAGCAATGACTTTGTCTCTCTAAACCACCGGTGATGGAAGGGTGAGACTAAAACCCTCGAATCTAGATTGAGTTCTAGATATACCTATATATGTACCAAACTCAACAAACTCTTAGACAGTTCTAGCCCAAATAGATCAACACAAATTCATGAAATGTAAAGCTCTTCAATCAGCTAAACACAGCAATCAAACTGAACCATACGGTCTTAAACAGCAAGAGTGAGATCTAATTAGTGAAAATCAACAAGAAAAAAAACCCAAAAATCGATTCTGAAACGCTAAAATTAGCAGAAAAAAAAAAAAAGAAAAACTAACGGTATGGACACAAAACCAAAAACATGCAGTCCGTACAAGGAGTTAGAGCAATTGAATACTTGAACTTGTGATTGCAGAATGGAAATGAAAGATGTAGTGTACTTACATGTGTGTGTATATATATATGTGTGTGTGTATATGGATTGTAATCTGGAAGGGCGAGACCTGTGATAGAAGAAAAGAGAGCGGCTTAAGGAGTCAGGGCTATTGCAAAATGAATTGGGAAAGTGGAATACAGTGTTAATTGGCCCCAAAAACGATGTAGTTTAGGGCCCAAATACTACAAATCAACTGAGGAAAAAAATGGAGGGAAGGGGAAAAAAATGGAGGGAAGGGAAAAAGCGGAAGGAGCGCTAGAAAAAGCTTATTTACTGGACAAAAAAAGTGCCTTAAATGTGAAAACTTTTATTGCTTATTTGCATAGCAAAAAAGGCTCTGTAGATATGAAATTTATCCACGAGCCGTAAGTTCATCTTATTTACGGGACAAAAAAGGCGCCTTAGATGTGAAAATTTTTATTGCTTATTTACGGAGCAAAAAAGGCGCCGTAGACGTGTGATTTATCAATGAGAAATATTTATCCCGTTAAAGGTGTACAAATATGCCATAAATGTATCTAAATATTCACGGGCGCTTTAATACGCCGTAAAAATATTTTTCTACGACGATTCTATAAAATCCTCGTGAAAACATGTCCTATTACGGGGATTCTTTTAAAAACTCTGTAAATGGTGTTAATCACAATGCAAAACAAAGAATCCCCGTAAACACTATGTCGTAAAAGCCCATTCTTCTTGTAGTGGAAGTGTTAGCAACACAAGCCGTAGATGTCTAGCATGGTCGTCCTCTAACCTCGAGTAAATCAAAATGTCATCTATGAAGACAATGACAAATTGATCCAAGTAAGCCCTAAAGACTCTGTTCATTAAATCTATGAAAACTGCTGGTGCATTAGTCAACCCGAACGGCATCACCCGAAACTCATAGGATCCATATCTAGTGAGAAACGTTGTCCTCGGAACATCCTGCTCCCGAACCCGAAGTTAATGATATTCAGACTGCAGATCAATCTTAAAGAAATAAGTAGCTCCCCTCAACTGATTAAACAAATCATCAATCCTGGGCAAAGGGTACTTGTTACGAGTGGTAACCTTGTTCAACTCCCTGTAATCTATACACAGCAGAAGTGAACCATCCTTCTTCTTCACAAACAGAACTGGTGCTCCCCAGGGTGAAGTAGTCCTACGAATAAAACCCTGGCTGAGTAATTGCTCAATCTGACCCCTCAGCTCTCGCATCTCCACTGGTGCCATCCTATATGGTGCCCTAGCAATAGGCGTAGTGCCTGGAGCTAGGTCTATCACAAAGTCGATCTCGCGAGTAGGCGGCAACCCTGGAAACTCCTGAAATACATCCGGGAAATTCTGTACAATTGGTATGTTATCCAATGATACAGTAGTCCCCTTCTCTGTTTCCTCCTCCATATGAAACAAATAGGTGCTAGTGACCCTGCTAGAACGCGGCATAGCAACGACGTACATGTCCTAACTAGGTATGGTAAAAACAACTGACCTATCATAACAATCAACTTGGGCATGGTAATACGATAACCAATCCATCCCAAGTATCACATCATAAGTGTGCATGTCCAGGACCAAAAGATTGGCTAGAAATATGAGTCTACCAATATCTAGTGTCATAAGCCCATCACTCTTATAAAGAATGGCTGTATGGCCTAACGGTGTAGAAATACCATGAGATCTACTGCATACCCGTGTCGTCATCCCAGACAAAGTAACAAAAGTCCTAGCTACAAATGAGTGTTTAGTACCCGTATCAAATAAAACACGTCCAAGTAAACCATGAATAAAAAACTTACCCTCAACAGCCTGAGGTGCCTGCATATCCTGTGGCATAGGATTGTACACCCTGCCATAATGTAACTACTGCGGTGCTTGTCTCTGAGGCTGCGACGACGCTGGTAAAGCCGGATATGTCTGTTCCTGAATTCGCAGAACCTGTGGAGCTGGTAAAGGCACTGGTGCCCTCTGCCCCTGCTGCACATATTGTCCCTGTCCTTGTCTCTGTCCCTGTCTTGCTGTAGGACACTGCCTGGAAGTGTGACCATACTTTCCACAAGTGTAACAACTACCCTGTAAAGTACCAAATGGCCTCCTCTGTCGGTTAGCCTGTAGCTGACCCTATCCTGCCTGTGGTCCCCCATTCTGCTGTCGCTGAATAGGTGTCACATCCCTGGGAGCATCTGAACCACCTTTGTACTTCTTCCAAGGCTGTTGTCCCTGGAATTTGCCCTTGTCATTCTGTCGGTGTCCGTTCCCATTCCCTTTCTCAACTAACTGATTAGCAGAGTCTCTGTCACCCCGCTTCTCACCCTTGGCCTGTCTAAAATCCACGGTCAACTAATACTGCTGTAGAGTGGCGTCTACCACCTGAGCATAGGTAGTATAGGCTGGACTACCTGTAATAGCCCTCTTGATAGACCACATCAGTCCCTTAACAAAACTGTTGCATTTTTTCTCCTCTGTATCCACCTCCTCCGGTGCAAAGAGAGATAAGCGTGTGAACTGCTGCTCATGCTCCGCTACTGTCATGTTCCCATGTTGCAGATTAAGAAACTCAGTCTTCTTGGCTGCCCTAACTGCATAAGGGAAGTACTTATCTTTAAAGCGTGCACTGAACTCATCATAAGTCAATGCCATCCTCTCCTCAGTAGTGGTAACTGACTCCCACCACTGTAGGGCATCCCCAACTAGCTTGAAGTTAGCAAGCATCTATTTCTGAACCTCTATGCACTAAACCAAGCGAAGATGTCACTCGATGTCCTATTTCCACTGGTGAGCTGTTCTCGCATCGGTAGAGCCTGTGAACTCAGGTGGGCTCCCATTTGTGAAAGAACTCCTGGCCTTCTCCCAAGTATCAGTCTGACCAACCGGTGCGGGTAACGATGCCGGCTGTACCTGAGGCTGATTCCGAAGTGTAGCGGTTACCCCTACTTCTATAGCCCGAGCAATAAGGTCATTGTGGTGAGGAAGATACTTTGGATCTCCTCCTTGATCCCGAGTCTGCTGAACTTCCTTCTAATCCTCGTAGAACTGACCTTCATCCTCCTGACGCTACTTACGGGCCGCTTCCCTTTGTTGCCGATTGTTCCATCTGGTACTTGCGTTAACCATTCTGTCAACACAGAAAGACAAACATCAGTATGATTAAACCAAACCTTAAGGGAATACAATGAATCCTAAACTTAAGCTCTAATCAAGAGAAAGCGCTACGCGGAAGTCTTAACACGAAACATCCTAGAGACACTTGAACCTGGAGTGCTCTGATACCAACTGTGATACCCCTCGGATCCGAGACACGAGTTGATCAGGCCCAGGCCCAAACTCGAGGGAAATATCAAACAATTAATATTTAATGAACACAGAATACAAGATGAAATAATAAGAAGTAAATAAAAATGGCTAAAAAGAACTCTAATTGAAAATCCTTAAAATAATGTTCTAAATATCCAAACTCCAAAACCTTCAATTAATTAACAACTTAGGAATCCATCTAGTGGACCCCTAATAAAAATCCCAACTGTAAAATGAAATAACTGAAATAAGATCCAAAGCTAAAAAGTAAGTAATCCTATGTAGTCGGTGGAATAGAAGTCTGTATCTGCTCTGCACGACCAAGCTCTAACCCTGGAACTGACGAGCACCTGAAAATAATAAAAGAGTGGGTCAGGCCCACATGCAAGTCCTGATCTACTACGATCCAAACAAGAATCCGATACGCAGATACATCTTAGATAGACTCAACAATACCAAGAGTAGTCCACATATGTATATATTACACACTATAGGACGCTCACTAGTCCAATAGGTATGTCTCAGCCTGAGTAGAGATACTATGCAAATCACACATTACGTGGTCATGTGTACCTAGACCTACCAGGGAACAGCACCTTTATCCAGCTATCCATCCTAGGCGATATACGCACCCTAACCATGGTCATGAGACTCAAGCTCATACCATGGCATCATAACATAAATATATAAAGTTCGTGTCCTCCTAATACAGAATATCATCCATCGATATAGTGGCTCGATATCTGTATAACAATTCATCCCAGAAATCCAATTATGTCATTCAGTTGTTTACTGACCTGACACTAATAGAAGTCGGACTTAACTTTTATTATTAATCCGAACCTCAATCCAGATTAGGTAGGCATAGTGTCTGAACTAATTCATACCTAGTATTCCACCGTCCTATATCGGTGCATAATATCCTCCATTTACCATAGTTGGCAAAAATAGTATAAATAGTTATCAATTACATTCCAAAATAAGCACAAATACAATTTCACATGTGTAAAATGAAATCATGCATCCAATAACAGAGTTAGAATCCAAATCCCAGTCCTTTAAATTTGTAAAATAAGATTACACAATCTACCTCTCCAAACAGTACCATACTGATGCAATGTATAACAGATTTAAACACCAGCTAACTCCATTTAAGCATACACATATTTAAATTACTATATGCCTAAACCACAGCTGAAAACATGATTCTCAATTTATGATTTTTGCAGAGAAATCAAAGTTTCAAAAACAGTAAGCAACAGAAGTTAATTCTCCAATCCTCCACATACGGACTCTCTGTTTAAGCTTAGGTTAATCCCATCCTAAATATCCAAATGTAGGCTTGCTTTCCAACAATTTTATAAGTCTTAAGCAGTGAATTACATTATTCAGTAGCACATAGACAGCCTTAGAAAAAATCAGTTTAACCAAACAGACCTCAATTTATCAGTTTTACGTATTAAAGGAGAAAGAGAAGGCTCTGAAACAAGAGAGCCTTCTCCATTTCAAGGAGAGCCTTCTCCACTTCAAAGAAAACGTCTGTTCGTCTGTTGTCTTCTCCATCTCCGATGGTTTCTAGTCTTTGAATTCAGTTTTATTACAGGTTTTAAAGTCCCATCCTCATCCCAGATTGATTACAAGACAGAGTTATACAACTAAGAACTTAATTACACATCAATGTTTAGAGCAAACAACAACCATTTATAAACTGAACTTGTAACAACTGAGTAACAGATTTAATTCAATGATACTAGAAACTGATTTAACATGTATAAACGATGTAATTGAGACTTAGTTTAATTCCTGGAGTCTAACTAAGCATGCACAGAACATAGATTCATGG